GATACAATTTTTAAAATCAATTGTATTGTTTTAACATAAAAAATTTCCATTTTGTTATTTTTGTCTGGGATTCAGACTGATATAAACGTATACGGAACTGAATAGTGTTCTAATTTTCATATTTAATGTTATATACTTTTTTTTGACCTTAGTAACATGTGGGTTTAAAATATCCCCCCCCCCTCTTCATGTTAACTATAATGTGGTTAAATGATCTGTTTTCATAATATCTATTAAAATCTAGATAAAAAGCAGATTATGGAAATAATCTCCCTCTTTTTAGGAAAAAATTTGTTTTCATTTTTTTTTTCAATTTTAAATAATTTTCATCTATTTCTATAAAATATCATGTTTTCTTTCCAAGATACTAAATTATAAAGTATCAAAGCTAACAACCGATTTATCAATTCTCATATTTTAAGATTTCCCTTTATCGCCTAGAATTAAAACAGAAATAATGCTCAAAAAATCCACAAGCGTCGAGAATAAATACTCGACTTTCAGAAAATACTGAATATAATTTTTTTTAGATATTTTCATTATTTTAGCGGCATGGTTATTTTTGAAAATTTTTAAAAAATTATTCGGGATTTATTTTCCCCTATATTTAATTTAAAAAATGGGGAATTTATTTCCGGGGAAATTTTCTATGGGATTTTTTTCCGGGTAATTATTTTCCTATGATTTATTTTCCGGAAAATTATTTTCCAGGGGATATTTTTTCTGAGGAATTATTTTCCAGGGGAATTATTTTCGGGGATTTATTTGCGGTTTTTTTTCCGGGAATTATTTTCCGCTTACCATCTAAATTTATCAATTTTATGTTGAAATATAACATATATCATTTATTTTGAGTAATTATAAAAATTAATTTCTATATTTAAATAAATTAGGGACGGGCCAGGCCGGTAAATTTTTTTAAAAAAATTTCGGGTTCAAACCGGCAAAACTTTTTGAAAAATACAAATTTTTTAAAATAAATTTCGGGCCGGATTTGAAAGGCCCGATACAGATCAATAATGCAAATGCTTAGGTAAATATTTCTATTAATTGAAGTGAGATTCATTTTCTTATGATATAAAAAATTAAATTATTATATATATTCAATAATAAAGGAATATACTTTTTTTTCTTTTATCTCATAATAAATAATTAAATACTTTAATATAATTATATTAAAAATAATTATTAATTACATTTTAAATTTTAATATATAAGTTTTCCATGATATTTTAATATTTAAAAAATTTATAATATTTCTTCCAAAAAATTTTGTCATTGCTTAAAAGCTTGGCTAATCCTCCCATGTCACACACTTTGTCAAACAAATTAGAATTTTCTTTTACTAATGAGTATCAATTTCAAAGAATTATAATAAGAATTCCATCTTATAATCACAGATCTTAAAGCAACCTTGAGAAATTTTTTTTTAAATCAACAACAAAAAATGTAGATTGATTTTTTTTATTCGATAAATTTTTGCACTTATCAAATGGATTTTTTAATATGTTTTTAAAAGATAAATTTTCTAATGCTTTTTCAGTATCAACACTTGTCACTAAATTAAGATGTGGCAAGCACAAGAGTTATGTTTGGGCAGATAAATAAAGTTTTCATCTCTATTTTGATTTTCAAATCATTTAATGAGAATGATACAAATTAATTTTCAGATATTTTCTCAAATATTTTTTTTTTAAAAAAACATAAAATTAAAATAGACTATTTATTTTTACCTAAAGAGTTAAATTTCTTGCATTATCTATGACACATAATGTTACCTTATTATGTTAAATTTCTTGAGAAGGTTTGAAATTGTTTCTAGCCGTGGCAAGCTAAACATGCCGATATTCTTTCTTATGTGACTGCATCCACCAGTGGACATTCATGCCTAAAAATAAACTTATAATATATTTTAACAAATTGATATATTCAAAGTATGTAAAAAATACCGATGATATGATGACCATAAATTTGCTGTGATACGAATTGTTTGTTTGGCTAAACAAGATTATTTTATCTAGCATGATGTTATAATCTTTAGATATTTTTGATACAAGGGTCGGGCGTGACATAACCTTTTTATTTGGTTGTAAAGTAGTAATCATATTAAAAGGCAGGGTTTTTAACTATATTAAATGGCTCTAGTTCTTCTATTAAATTTAAAATTGCATCATCTGTGACTGCATCACGTTTGATGTATTTTTTTTCATATTAGAAAGAGTTTGTTGTTTAAATTTATCAGCTTTTTATTTTTTATTATTATTATCACTATAATTTATTAAATATTCATTAATTTCTTACAGCATAATTTCGTGAACTCTTTAAAAATAAAGTAAGTTTTTGATAAATAATGCTACAGATGATAATATTTTATTAAATTGGTAATAGCAAAGTAATGTCTTATAAAATAATTTATTAAATTAAAATTTATTAAATAACAAACATTTTGCAAATGCATATTTGATACAATTTTAATATTTATATTATAATATTTGCGGATTCTATTAATTCAATAATCATTATTTATAGCATTTTATTATTGTAAATAAAAATATAAAATCCCAGGTATTGTAAAAGTTAATTATTTTACAATATATAAATTTCTACTTCAATTTGTGTTCAACAGTTTAAATATAAAATCCTTGATTAAAATTTCCAAAAATAAAAGAAGTTCATCATTTTTTTTCCAAAACGCAAACGCGTTTAAAATCAACGCGTTCGTTTACAAACTATTAAAAAATATTAAATCATACTTTAAAATAATTAATATTGATAATATTGTATATTCGATATCCAAAAGCGACATTCATTTATTACACTTTAAAATCGCCTAGTTATTTATATACAGATTACTGCAAATTTATTTCTCATTTCTTTTTCCTGATTCAAAAATAGCCCAAAACACAAAATCAAGAAGAGCAAAACCCTCAAAAATATTTTTAAATATTATGTCCTGTGATATGAGACATATTTTAGAGGATTTGAAGGAAATTATCCGCAAAACTTTTATCGTGAATGTCGTTTTTATAGCCAAGGTAAAATCACCAAACCATGCGAATTTTTTTCCGCGAAACATTTATAGCGAAAACAATTTCGCGAAGCCATTATCGCAAATTTATTTCCACGAAACCTTAACCTCGAATTTATTAGAGCGATTACATTTTACGCGAACACTTTACAGCTAATTTTTTATCGCAAATATGTTTGCGCTGAGTCATTATCGCGAGCGCATTACCGCGAAACAATAAATATATTGCGAATGCATTTATAAAGGAAAACAACATATTTTTTTTATCATTTGATTTTTTTTTAATAAAAATTGATGTGCTACTATTGTAATATTATTTTTTTTTTATGGTAATTGATGTTTTCGAATAGTTACCCGCCTCAAAAATATTGGCAGCTATTTTTTATATGAAATCTGAAAATAATTAAATTTAAAATGACTGCGATTAATATGGCTACTAAAAAATTTAATTATTCGATTTTAAAACTTGGAAAAATCTGGCAACCCTGGTTAAAACCCACTCATTGCAGGCCTCTTTACTGAAAATTTAATGAAATTATAATATTTAAAAAATTACATTTTATGATTTATCTGATTGAATAAAGAAAATATATAGAAACATTGGAAAAAATGGATAAGGGCCTGCGCGATATTATTCTGGTGATCGAAAAGTTTTATGCATCGGATAATAAAACCTGTTACGTATTTACATCTGATCATGGCATGACTGATTGGGGTAGTCATGGTGCTGGAACGCCCCATGAAACTTATACACCGTTCATTACTTGGGGAGCTGGAATAAAAGCGATCTCCAATTTTTCAATTGAAAGTATAAGTTGCACAATATTATCTTTAACTGTTTTTATTATGAATTCCTTTATGATCTTCTGTTCAATGCTTCATCTTTTTTTGATAACGCTAGCTTCTCGATCTTTAATTACTCATGCTCTCCTAATTTTTTCGATTTTTATTTTATTTACAAGTGAATGTCTGTAAACATTCTACGAACACTTAACCTCTAGTGAATTTACCATATCCTTTGCATGCACCGCTTTCTACATATTCCCCGAAACTTGATCCTTAATACCTTAACCTTATTGCTTCCTCTATTAAAAAAACGAATAAACACTTCATTTTATTTGAGTTTAATTGTTATTCCTATACACTTCTCTTTGCCTCTAAATTATTTTCATTTTTAGCTTATGGTTTTTTTTATCTAAATCGTCCCTAGTTTTTTCCAATTCAAATGCTTATGTCCAATTCAATAGATAACCCCTTTTACCCATATTCCTAATCAAATACATCTCGTTAAGAACTAGGTTTGTAACTACTTTTTAATACCCATTATGCTTCCTTTACAGTCAAGTCAATTGTATAAACTTCTTTAACAACCATTACAACTCAGGTGTTTATTTCTGAAGTTTGCATTTGCGTTTACAATATTTATTATATTTGATTTTTTATTTAGAATTTAATGTAAACCGAAAAATTAGTTTAAATCATTTTTAAAAAAATCATTAGATATCAATTGATTCTTATTTTCTAACTGATTATTAACCTATATCAGCAACAGATTAAAATTTACATTGGGTTTGCACTAGTGATCTGCATCGGGTCTAATTTTTCAGGCCCAACTTGGCCCTAAATTTTTTAGAAAAAATTTGCTGTCCCGGCTCTAATTTATTTAAATATAGAAATTAATTTTTTAAAAATTATTATACCCAAAATAAAAGATATATGTCATATGGCGTCTAGTTTCTATAAATAAAATTAAATATTTTTATTTACATTAAAAATTCAACATTAAAATTTATATATATTTAAAAAAATTACCTAGGTTCTGCCCGGCAGATCTCTAATTTGAACCTTGATTTTTAATCTTTTAAGAATTAAGTCTGCTTATAATTGATATATTTAGAAAAATATTAAGGATCATTAAGCTTTATTATTTAATAGTTAATAATATTCTTTTTAAAAAAATATATAATTATAGATTTTATTTATCCTAAACAAACAATAAACATTGAACAAGTTGATATTGCACCATATATATCATGTTTATTGGGAATACCTACCCCTCTTAATTCTTTGGGGCGTTTACCATTCGAATTATTAATTAATCCACTTTATCAACAACAATGTTTATTGGGTAACACTCTTCAAATATACCAGCAATACAAATTTTTGCGCCAAAAGGTTAAAACTGAGATCCATCGTTCTTACTTTACGCCATTTGAAGAACATATGTAAGCTTAAAAGATATACTTTATTATATTGTTAACGTTTTATAAGATATAGTGATTATGAAAGGTTTATGTATGAATCAAAAGACAAGCATAATGAAATGGTAAAAATTCGTGAAGAATTATTAGAAGGAATTCGATTTTATTTAAATTATCGGACATCTGAGTTAAAAATGATTATATCCCTTGCCTATATTTTGTGGATACTATATATTTTCACTCTTCAATATAAAAAAATCATTAAAATTCGTTATTTTTTTGATATAAGTTATATACCAACAAGAAATTATATATTTTTAGGTATTTTTTGTATTTTTATTATCATTACATATCTGAAATTGAATTCTAGTCCTATCAAATTTTATATTTATTACCTTTTACCACTTTCGTTATTTTATTTTGATATGATTCATTTTATTTTCATCTACAAATATATTTTTCTTGGTGGTAAAAAGAATTATTTAAACAATGGCTATAAAAGTAATTTAATTCAAATTATAATTGCTTCTAATATCATCATAACTATATACGCTTTAATTTATTCATTCTTTGATCGAAGATGGATGGTTATTTGTTTGTTTGAATACATTCTGTCTTCTTTTTATTTAAATGAAAGAGTGAACTCATTAAATATGAAATGCATCGTTTACGGTTTATCACTAACCCCTTTTTATTTTTTAAAACTTCCTGGACAATATAATACTAACTTAGGATTACTTTTAATAAGTTGGGTTATTTTAATAATAAAAAATACTCATTTTTTAAAAATAATGCAACAAAAGTTTAATGGAAAGCTTAATCCCTCTAAAATGGCATTCTCTGATATATGGCTCCTGATAATTACTTTTCTTTCTGGGTTTTGCATAATTATGTGTCGAGGTGGCATTTTTAACACGTGTCATGGTAATGATTGTATAAATAGATATTTTTATCGATACATATTTATTAATATACCAAGTTGGGTTTTGGTATTCACTTCTACAACCATTCCATTATTTTTCAAAACTACTTTTACAGGCCAGAGATATAGTCATATCAGATTAAAATTGTTAAAATACATCAAGTTAATTGACTACTGCGAACAAGAGCGTTTATTTACTGAATTAAATTATATAAACACAGCTATATTTAGCTTGTTTTCTTTAGTATCCGTATCATATGAGTTTTTATTTTTGGTTCTATTTTCATTTTTGCTCAAAAATTGGGTTAATTCTTACAAAGAACAAATCATATTTGTATCAAATAACGATAATGTACTTAATATACTTATACATCATATAATCTTTTCTCTTCAATTTATTGTCATGATTTTCAGTTCGTTTTTTGGAATCGGTAATATTGCTAGCATCAACTCATTTGATCCTGCATACTGTGTATGTTTAGTGAGTGCATTTAAGCCATTTATAATGGCCTCCATTATAATTATAAAAATTATTTTACCGATTATTATTATAACTAACCATTATGTAACCATTAAAAATTTATTGCCTGATATTATTTACCAAAATAAACTCGATGGTAAAGACATAAATTTATCATCTTTTTATAAAAATATATATGTTATCACAATCTTACAAGTTTTATGCATGTATTTCTTTTTTTGTATAAAAAATGAAGGAAGCTGGTTAGATATCGGACTTTCCATTAGTCAATATATATTATGTAATATAATATTACCATTGATTTTATTGTGTTGTTTTATATCACGAAAATGGTTGAGTTTTTATAAATTAACTTAAAACATGTATATTTTTATTATAATGTGATGTAAAATAAATTATAAAATTGGTATGTTTGTTATTTTACACATTTCGAGACTTCTTAACCATAAATTATTTGAGCTATCATCATCTTTTACATTTAATCCAGGTTCGGCAATATCACATTCACTAATAGTTTTTTTTTCTAATATTAGAAATAATATAATTTATTACCGAAAATATTTCCCAGTTATATCTTTAATAGTCTTCTCTATAGCGCAATATATAACGGTTTGAGCACCATCATTGGCTGTTTTCATAAAAAACCATAAGAATGGGAATGAAAATATGTATAGCATTGAATTTGTATAAAATGGCATGTATCTCATAATATTTGTAAAGCAAATTCCAGGATTACATGTGTTTACTGAGACATTATGACCTGTTAATTTTTAGTAATTATAATAATTTAGGTTTGAATCCTTAAAATTTCAATGAATTTTGAGCATAAAATTTTAACTTATTCAGGTAGCATTTGCTATTTTATGTTATTCATAAATCTTAGGAATGTTTAAAAATAATTGTATTAATATTTACTTTAAAAAATTAATTGATAAAAATCTTATATCTAGAAATTCAGAATTGTTATTAATATGAATACCAACTTGTCATGATTTATATTTTTTAAAATAAATACCTTCTAGTTTCTTTGCTAAAATTCGGGTTGATAACATTATAGCCAATTTACTCATGGCAAAATAATCGCGAGGTTCCAATATAACTGAGTTTGATTGATCATCTGTTTTTATTATAGAATCTTTTTTCTTTTCAATACAATTCAAATTCAGTCTGGCAATTCGATGAGATACTGAAGTCATATTTATAATTCTTCCGTTATTAGATTTGATTAAAGGTTTTAATAATAGTAAAGATAGGAGAAAATGGGCTGTATATATTAATGTTTAATTTTTGATTAAAACCTTAAATAACCTAAATAATTAACAGCAAAATGAATTTCAAAATCATCTTCGGTGAACTTATTAGGGTGCATCATAATTCCAGCATTATTAATAAGGACATCAATTTTTTCATATTCTATTAAATTTTTTTATTATAATTTTAAATTATGGTTTATAATTATTAATGCAATAGCAAGAAAATTTTGTCTATTATAGTATTTTTAAAGTTACTTTTGAAAAATAAATAGTTAAACTTTCTTATGTTATATAAGTAATTTAAATAAATAATATACCTATTATACAAAATAAAATTTAAACAATTCATCAATTTCGAAAAGTCAGCAGATTAATTTGGCATATAAATTTGAAAACTCAAAGAATAGTCTTTATTTATAATTATTAATACTAATACTTTCTGATTTGCTATATTAACTTTTTTACTTAAAATTCATTTCAAAGCCAATTAATAAACAAGAAATTTTAATAAATCCTTTATAAAATTTCTAAAATAATGAACTTCCGCTATATTTATATACCTTTGTTAATGTCGTTTGCAAAAGCTCTGACCGAATGAAATGAGGCAAGTTCTATCTGTTTAATAATCAAATTTTGGACTGAACATTTGGCTTCTTTCAATTTTTCAATTGCCATTTCGCCATTTTTAATATTATGACAAGCCATGATAATTACTGCGCCTAATTAATTGTCAATTTTTTTTTTGTAAATTTTAACCTCGACTTAATAAATCCTTAGTAACTTCAAAACCGATTCCAGAATCTGCACCTGTTATAACAATAATTTTCCCATCTAGGTTTTCTTTGCTATTATATCTTGTTCCTCGAAAATAAGTTCTTTATTTTATATGTTCAAAAATATTTCATTAAAATTTTTTCATTATTACACAAGTTTATAATTAAAAAAATTTATGCGCTACTTTTTTTAAGTAGCGGTAGCTTTAGCTGGCTACTTTTTTTTAGAAAATAGCGATAGCAGTAGCTCGCTACTAATTTAGAAATCTCAATTTTACATAATAAATACATCTAAAAATTATTAAAATATATTTTTTATTAAATCTAAAATTATAATCTTTTTATTTAATTTAATTTTGAAATTTATATTTAAAATATACATTATATCTAGTTATTAAAAATGTGTGAGATTGTTGAAGGTAGCTAAATTTCTTTGGAAAATGAGAAAAATATAGATTATCCTTTCCCAAAATTCAAAAAATACTTTAATCTTGAAGAAAAAATTACTATTGGATATCGGTTTCGATGCAAGAAAATTTTGCCAACCACTGGTAGAGTCTATGCTAAAAGGCGAGAAAAGGTCAAAACTTTATTTTTATTTTCTATTATACAATTATATAAAATGAATGATTTATTGCTTGATTAGCCATAATTTAAATTGGCTTAATTTACAACACAATCTATAATATTAATATATAGTATTAATATAAAATTCAAAATTAATATATTATTAATTACCTTGTGTATAATAATTATATTTTTAAAATCTTTATTTACCATAATTTAATGCTATTTTAATATTTTTTTATAAATGTATCTAAATCTCAGATAAATTTAAATTTTGAAAATTAAAAAGGTGTTCTTCTTATTTTATAATTAATACAATCGCTTTTATAAATTAGTTTCCAGATAGATCTGTATGATAATGTAATAGCTGCTATCATTCATCCTAGTTTCGAATTAAATTGGCCATACATTCATTTGACTGTATCTAAAGGACAACTTTATAGGCTGATGGTAACGTTAAAAAATGCCATGCCTAACCACGATACTAATACTATAGCAAGATCGAAACCGCAGCCTTCCATAGATGATTTTTTTTGAAATAAATAATAATAATAATAAATTGAACCTCTAGAAGCTTTTTTAAATCTAAAAATACTCATTTAAATATCTTTGATGATTTTTTTCATATAAAAAGTGTGTTTAATAAATTTAATACTGCGTTGCCCTCAAGTGATAGTGCTGAACGATTATTTAGTATGGTAAAGCTTATACTTTCTGATCGTCGCTCTAGACTTGGGGGTGACAGTATCAAAATGTTATTATTATTAAAGAACAATATTAAATAAATTATATATATATGTGTATGTAATAAATTATAGTCATGTTTTTATACCAATATTTTATTTGTGGAAATAAAGTTATGTAAAAAATATTTTTAAAAAAAATCAAAATAGCGTAAAAAGTAGCTAATAGCGCGCTACTCATTTGAAAATGATAGCGGTAGCAATAGCGCGCGTAGCGTTTAACAACACTGGTCATATGAAAAATAATTAACGATATAAAAATATCCAGCAAATACATGACAAATAAAAAAAAACACGATTTTCAACCCTACCCCTCAGATTTTTCTAAAATTTCACAAGAGTTTGTATAAATTATAACTAAGAAAATATAAAATTTTAGCCTCCAACTTCAAACAGCGGCTGAGATACGGGCCTCTAAATGTCGAAAAAATGGGGCATTTTAAATATATTTGAATATAAATGAGCTAGAAGCGTCATTTAAATTTCTTTATATAACCTAATGTTTGACCTTTAAAGTTATATAATGTTAATTATTTTTAAAAAATTTTAAATGTCAAAACCGGAAATGGTCATAAAATTAAATCGGATGTTTTTTTCTCGCAATTTTTTTTTATATATAGATATAGGATTAATAAATAAATAAGCAAATTTTAAGTTGGGCAGTTCAAGTTTAGGAAATTTGGCATTTTACTTATTAGTCTATTGCAAATATTCTAAATAAATATTTGATATTAATCAATAATTATAATATAAGTTAAAAGCTATCAAATATTTTATGTTTAAAATAGTTATTTATGATCTAGGGGAAAAAGGGGAGGGGGGAGAACTTTGGTTAATTTATTTGATGAATTGAATTTTTCACGTAAAAATAACTAAAAAAATACAAATCAATTTTTGATTATAATTTCTTGAAAACAAAATTTAATTTATATTGTAAATTTAATAATTTTCACAATATGAAAATAGCTCAACCTTAATTTAATTTTCCCTAAGGGGCATAAAAATATGAAACTTCTGATTCCCGGACTGGGTATGACCTTTTGAACAAGGTATTTTTTATATTTATCTTTTATATGTGCGTAATTAATTCCAGTTATATATGTTTTATAAAAATTAAATGAATTTAAGGTGTATTTGATTCTCATATGGATGCTTAGCTCTTTCGATTGCCATGAGCTATTACAAAAAAATGTCATTCCGCTTGTTTCCAACTTCAAGTTCACAATGGCCCAGATTATGAATTCATATATTGATAACTACACCATCAGGAAATAAAAATCTGATAAATTTTGATTTTAAGAAAACCAATCATTTTTAGTTTAGAAAAAAAAAATTGGTCATAAATCCGTAATTATTAAAGCTCACTTTTATATCAATATAAGTTTCTTTAATATTAAAATATAATTCCTTATGATAGCATAAAATTAGATTTTCTTTGATTGGTTCTCTTTTTCTAACCTTTATTGATATAAAACGGGTTTTAATAGGCATATGAATTTCGAATTATCAATAAAACACCCTTTTCCTTGATCAATTTTTTGCAATCCTTGCCATGGATTCAGTCGTTGAAAATTCTTGTTTTTAAGGTCCAAGAATTTGTTAAAACTGTCAATATCTCAATTTTTTCATTTAGTAAATGTGTTATTTCAAATTTATTTTTCAATTGCTTAATGATTTCACATTTATCGCTAATATTAATATTATCTTTTGAAAATTTTTTTTATGTCAGATAACACAAATTTTATCGTATCCAAACAATGAAGTAAATTTCTTAATGACCAACGTTCTTGATATAATATGATATCTATGGAAAAATAATATTTTAAAATAATAAATAATAGATCTACCAGTATTAAGACCCCTTTACTAATTCTTTCCAGTGCAGTTCTTCAAACAAAGACATCAGGGATGGGCATTATTACTCAGAAATTGTAATTAATTTCTATCTCAATGCAGTCCAAAGCATGTAAGAGTGATGTACTGACCCAATCACAACAATTTTTACCAAAAATACCACTCGTATCTTATTCGTTTAGATTTAACATGTTTATTTTATATTTATAGAAGCAGACTATCATCATATAAAGCGATTGTAAAATTTTTCCTACTTTATAATGCTGTGAGGGCAGCTTTGATAAATTTAAAAGATTCTGAAGATTCTGCTACTTCTACCATGGCGAGTGCTAATGTTTTTAGAATAGAACAATTTTATGTTATTTTTGGCTTGTATAAAATGGAAAACCATTTAAAAGGACATAGGGTTTGCAATAAATCAAATTCAATTGGCAATGATTGCCTGATTAATTTGAAAAATGTAATTTAAATTATTATCTTGTATTATTATTTAATCCTAATAGATAATGACAGTGAATTTATGAAGGGGAGAAATCAACCTTTTGTTTTTGAAAGTTATAGACTTCAAACAATACAATCCAAAAAGGAGAGGTATACATACTTTCATTATTAAATATAATATTTTATTTTAGCTATAAAACCAGTTTATGTTGCACTTGATTTGATCATTATGTCGTTTAAAATAATGAATCTATAAAATTATTAAACCAAACATAATTTTTTTACACCAAAGGGAATGGTAGAAAAGACATTTGTTAAGGATAATAATGAAAATATCTGTGAATTTTACCATTTAAACTCAAGTCAAGTTTTTAAAAAAGTGTCTAAGTTTCGAAATATTTATATTATGGCTAAAATGAGGGATGTAAACATGACCTAGTGGTTAAAGAATCTAAAGATTTGTCAGAATTATATTTTATCATCTAGGAAAATGATCAAAGATGCTAAGTCTTCTGCATTCATTTAAAATTTATAAAAATGGTAACAAATTTTTTAAAAAGATTTCTGATATAGTTACTAATGGCATTTGGATAAATATAAAAAGTCGAACAAGGAGAATGTACAGCGATGAATAAGATATACGCTCACAGATCCGATTGACTATACTGTTGAGGTATATCCTCCTATAATTAATCATATTATAAATCAGAGACCTGCAGGCCCGGCCCAGTGCAATATGAAATAATTAATTAATATGATTTAATGTGGAATATAAATGATTTTATATTGAGGAATTGCAATATGTTTTTATATTTGCAATAAGTGAGAATACTTTTATTTTTTTAAATATTTATATTAATACATTATTTAGCTTTCTTTCTGATTATGATTCTGAGACTTATGAGTCAGACTAGAATTTGTTAATTTTACCTTAATTATATTTACTTTAAAAAGTTTCTGATTTCCTTAATTTATCAATTTTATATTAATATTTATTAAACATTCCTACTATCTCATGTACTTTAACTCTTTATTCAGATGGGGGGGGGGGGGTCTGCTTCCATCGCTCGAAAAGTGTAGAGAGCACTGATAGCTGCTCTTGTTCACCCTAGATTCAAGTTGAATTAGCCATATCAAAATAATCTGACTGAATCCAAAGGTAATACTATACCAAACCAGGATAACCTAGCCAGATCAAAAACGCTACCTACTGAAGATAATTCTTTTGAAATAAATAATAATACTAATGAAAATTCTCTATAAGTATTTATTAAATCTAAAAATTAGTGTTGTTAAACGGCTCGTTTTGAGCCGATTTTTAAAAACGACTAACTCAATATTTCATTCAGAAAAATATTACGCAAGCCTGAAGATTTTGCTCATAGAAGGAACAAAGGTCTAGACATATATTATTGAAATCTCGAGGCTTAGGTAATATTATTCTGGCTACAATATTGAGTTAGGCGTTTTGTTTAACAACACTACTAAAAATACTCAAATGAATGATTTTGATGATTTTTCTTATATAAAAAAATATGTATTAGTTTAATACTGCATTGCCCTCAAGTGCTATGTTGGACAATTAGTATGGCAAAGCTTATACTTTCTGGTCGCCACTCTACTTGGGGGTGACAGAATAGAAATGTTATTAATATTGAAGCAATAAAAAATATTTTATATATTTTTTGAATGATATTCATATTTTCATACCAACATTTTTTATGTGGAGATAAGTAAAAAATCTTTAAAAAAAATCTAAAGCTGAGTAAAAGATAGCAAATAACGAGTTACTTTTTTTTGTAAAATAGCGGTAGTAATAGCATGTCACTTTAAAAAGTAGCGCTTAACAACACTGATTTGGATATCTGTTCAAAATCTCAAGGCTTATGTAATATTATTTTGGCAAAAATCTTAATTTTAAATCTGCTATATAGAGTTATTTAAGAACACTAATATATAGAATCTTTATTAAAAATCTGCCCACTCTAATAATAGCATATATATCTGACATGGCCTAAAGAAGGCTGTAAAATTGCATAATTTTAAAAATTCAGATTGGGCTCAGAAAT